AGATATAAAAATGTGTGTGTGTGGGGTGTGTGTGTGTGTGTGTGTGTGTGTGTCTGTCTGTGTGTGTGTGTGTGTGGGTGTGTGGGTGTGTGTGTGTGGGTGGGTGTGTGTGTGTGTGTGATGCTGGCAGCTGAACGCAGGACCTGTATATGTAAGGCACTGAGTCACACCCCAAGCTTCTTTGTTTTTTGTTTTGCTTGTTTGTTTGTTTTTCGAGACAGTGTTTCTCTGTGTAGCTTTGGAGCCTATCCTGGCACTTGCTCTGGAGACCAGGCTGGCCTCAAACTCACAGAGAGCCGCCTGCTTCTGTCTCCTGAGTGCTGGGATTAAAGGCATGCGCCACCAACACCCGTCTGCTTCTTTGGTTTTTGAGACAAGAGACTTACTATATAGCTAAGGCTGGACTCAAACTAAGGATCCTTTTGCCTTAGCCTCCCAAGTGCTGGGATTACACCACTATGCTTAGCAACTGGAATATTTTAAATATAAGCATTAGACAACTTTAGAAGATCATTACTAATTGCTGAGGTTTGCAATGGTTTTTGATTGTATAAAATAACAGGAGATTTGTTTTTGTTTTTTCTTCTTTTCCAGACAGGGTCTTACTATATATCTCTGGCTGTCCTGGAACTCACTCTATAGACCAGGCTGACCTTAAACTCACAGAGATCTGCCTGCCTCTGCCTTTAAAGTGCTGAGATGAAAGGTGGGCATCACTAAGCCCAGATTAATAGATATTGTTTTTGAAGATATATTTTGAAGTATTATTGTAAACAAGTTCCTTACTATTAGTGTGTGTGTGTGTGTGTGTGTGTGTGTGTGTGTGTGTGTGTGTGTGCGCGTGCACATGATGGGTGTGTGGGCATGTGTGCCATGACACATGCTTGAGGACAACTTTGTGGAGATGGTTCTCTCCACTTTTGTGTGGACTTCAGGGATTGAACTCAGGTGGCCAGCCTTGTGTGGCAAGTGTCTTTACTCACTGAACCATTTCACTGGCCCCAAAATATTACCTTAAAATGTCAGTGGGAGAAGAGGAAGAAACAACATATGCATAGCAAAGTGTTAACAACTGTTGGGTGTAAGTGTGGGTATAAATATTTTTATTTTTCTCCTTTTTTACTTGGACCTATTTATTTTATTAGTGCTATAGATGGGATCCAGGGTCTTTCACACATTAACATCAATTTTACTACTGAAATAAGCCCCTGGGGCCCATTTGACTTTTTTTTTTTTTTTAATTTTCCCCGAGACTGGGTTCTCTGTGTAGCCCTGGCTGTCCTGGAACTCATTTTATAGACCAGGCTGACCTCGAACTCATTGAGATCTGCCTTCCTTTGCATCCCAAGTGCTGGGATTAAAGGCATGGACCACCACTTGTATGCTTGAGCACTCGTGTGGAGGCCAACTGTCAACCTTGGGTGTAGTTCTCAGGAGCTACCTGCCCTAGTGTTTGAGACAGCGTCTCTCACTGGGAGAGAGACGTTTAGTGATTTGGCTAGGATGGCTGGCCAGCACTTTACTGAACTATTTCCCCAGCCCCTCATTTGAGCATTTTAATAAGTATATAATAATTTTTAAAAATTTTATTTATTTTTATTTTATGTGCATTGGTGTTTTACCTGCATGTATGCCTGTATGAAGGTGTCAGATCCTGGAGTTACAAACAGCTGTGAGCTGCCATATGGGTGCTTAGAATTGAATCCACATCCTCTGGAAGAACAGCCAGTGTTGGTGTCAGATCTTGGCATTACAGCTGTTAGCTGACAAGTGGGTGCTGGGAATTGAGCCCTGGTCCTCTGGGAGAGCAGTTGGTACTCTTAACTACTGAACCATTTCTCCAGCCCCAAGTATATAATAATTTTAAAAGGGCTTAGTAAATAGGTTTTTTGTGAAGATTTGATAAGCTAGTATAGGCAAAGAGCTCAGGCTGTGCTTCAGCACAGGCTCAACAGCCAAAGGGTCAGAATGGTTAGTCTATACCATCTTTTCAACCCCACCAGGTAAGGAGCATTGTGCCCACTTTACAGATGAAGAAGTGGGGACCCACAAGGGTCACGTGGGTGTTTGGCATCCCAGCTTTTCTAGTTCATAGTCAAATGTTCTTTCTGTCGCCTCCTCCCTTCACATTGCCTTTCAGAAACAAATGTCAAAAACGATGCTTTGGTTTTCTGTGTGGCACTTCCTTTTAGACATCAGTTGGAACTAGTGCAGGCTAGAAATGGAGCAGGCATTGAGCTAGCCTGTCTTCAGAGTCCAGAGTGCTGCCACGTTCTCCCTGCTCATAAGGTCACGGATAAGCAGTAACTTTCAGAGACTCAAAGAGGGCATTCCAGCCATAGGGCATAGTATATGTGTTTTCTTAATGGAGAAGTTGGGCCTTGGACTGATAGCTAAATTGTATTCATAGATGCCATCCGTGGATCCTTAAAGCTCACCAACCTTTCCACTTCCATGTCTGGCGTCTATGTCTGCAAGGCCCAAAACAGAGTGGGCTTTACCCGGTGCAACGTGACCCTGGAAGTGATGACAGGTCAGTGAGGGGTAAGTGTGGTGAAGAAGCATGGTCAGTGGATGGCTTTACAGGAGAGGAAGAAGCCCGTCTGCTGAGGCTTCTCGTTGAATCATGACTGGGAATTGGACATAGTCAAAAGCAGGGACAAATGTTTGCTCAGCGTCTGGCTATTTTCTACTTGACAGCCCTCTCTTTCCCCTCACCCTAAGAGAAAAAGGAGGAATGCAACAGTGACAGTTGAGTAGTGTAACTTGAGTGCATAAAGAATAGATATGTGTCCCTCCCTCTGACACTAAGGATTTTTCAGGGTCTAAGGCTGCTGTGGTTGCTGGAGCAGTTGTGGGCACTCTGGTTGGGTTGGTGCTGTTGGCTGGACTGGTCTTGTTGTACCAACGCCGAAACAAGACCCTGGAGGAGCTGGCCAATGATATCAAGTAGGTGTCCCTGATCTTTGAGGGTGTGGGAACTCTTGTGACTTTTTTCTGGAGTCTGGGAATGCAGGCCTCTCCCATTTTTAATGGAAAGGTGTATGGTAGCTGTAACACGTACAGTATTCCTCAGAGAAGATTTAAAGGAAGAGAGAAAGGGAGTTGATGTACGTGTATGGCAGGGCAGTAAGACAGACATGTAGGGACTCTTTCGCCTTTTCTCCTTTCGGCTTCTGATGTGTCACTTCTTTGATGACCAGGGAAGATGCCATTGCTCCCCGGACCTTGCCTTGGACCAAAGGCTCAGACACAATCTCCAAGAATGGGACACTTTCCTCTGTCACCTCAGCACGAGCTCTCCGGCCACCCAAGGCTGTTCCTCCAAGACCTGGCACATTTACCCCCACACCTAGTGTCTCTAGCCAGGCCCTGTCCTCCCCAAGACTGCCCAGGACAGATGGGCCCCCACCTCAGCCAGTATCCCTGGCCCCAGGTGGGGTTTCTTCTTCTTCCCTGAGCCGCATGGGTGCTGTGCCTGTGATGGTGCCTGCTCAGAGTCAGGCTGGCTCTCTCGTGTGATGATTCAGGCACTCATTGGCTAAGGCTGGCATCTCACCTTCCTGTAAAGGTCACCTGTGGCACAGAGGACAGAATCTTGGGAGGATAGCCACACTCTAGACCTTCAGTCCTCTGCCCCTGCCTCCCTTTATTGTTGGAAGACTGGGCCTCAGTAAAACCAAAGTCTGGGACAGAGGAGAAATGAAGGAAATGGACCTAAGATTGGGGGTGGGGGTGTCCATCTCTTCCCTGCTTCTCCCTATGAAGCCAGATGAATGATGCTGAGATTGGCTGCCAAGGACTCTGGAGGAGACTGCCAGTCAGTGAGGCCCCTGGCTCTGTGATCTGTACAAACACCCTATCTAATGCTGCCCTTTGCTTCCCAGTCCAGTTCCCTGTATTAATATAACCTGTCCTGCTGGCTTGGCTAGGTTTTGTTGGAGCAGGGAATAGGAAAGACATTTTAAAAACTAACTTGAAACCAGTGTTTTTGTTTTTATTTTGCAAATTTCAATAAAGATACTTTGCATTTTCATGGGCTAGTAATCATATTGCTTTTGCTAACTAGGGCTTCACAGAAACTTGAGTTGCAGGAGGCTATGAAGTAGATTGTACCTACTCAGGTTATGCATCCCGGAGACTTTACACAACTGCAGGGCTTACTGGCTTATAATTCCTCTAGAGTCTGTAGAAGGGCCATTTGCTGTCATATGGAAAAGCAAGGTGCCAAGAGCCTGAGGCTGACCTAATCTGAACAAGGAGGTGATGATGAACCGGGACACTTGCTGCTGGTGCCCTGGGCTTGGTCTCCACACACTCCATTGCTTTCCCTCTCCAGGGCTTAGGGGAGTCTCATGCCTCTGCATCCTTAGCAAACACACCTTCCTACTCTTTGGGTAGCAGTCCCCTTTGCCAGTTGAGGGAAGACTTAGGATGTGGTGATGTCCTAATACCACTCTGCTCTTTCCCACGGGCAGGGGGTTCTTCAGATATCGGTTTCTCTGTGCCCATTGATCCTCAAATAGGGTGGGTGTAGTTTCCCTGAAGAGACTCTCATTAACCCCAGCCCATGCTGGGAGAGAATCTCTAGAGTCCAGGACAGCTTAGCTCCAAGGGATGCATGCTTGCTGTCTATGGCCTCCAGGGTGACATCATCTGCCAGTGGGCATCAGAATGCCTTCTCTCCTGTGAAAGAAACTTTTCTTGCAGAGTTCCAGTTCTGAATCCTTATCTTTAGGGTGCCCTCCTGAGCCCAGCTCCTTCTCCAGGGCCTGAAAGTTTCAGAAACTAGGGGGAAATTAGGGAGGAAGAAGTATCCTAGAATCAGGTGGAGGAGGGAGGAGCATTTCCTTTCCCTGAGGGTGCCTGCCTCTGCCCTTGTTTGCTCTGAGATAGCCAGTCTCTCTCCTACCCAACACAAGGCGGCTGCCTTTCGGGCTTTCCTAGAGCCTTACACCCTCAAGACCAACAGACGACAGGACCAGGAGACGGTCACAGTCATGGCGTGGACCCTGGTGGGGGCTTTCCTCTGCGGACCCTTGCTGGGCTTCCTGTGGCTGAGGGGGGAGGAGAGG